TGCATGCCACCATGCCAGGCTAAGTTTTGTATTTTTAGTAGAGACAGGGTTTCACCATGTTGGTCAGGCTGGTCTCAAACTCCTGACCTCGTGATCCGCCTGCCTTGGCCTCCCAAAGTGCTGGGATTACAGGCGTGAGCCACCGCGCCCAGCTTTTTATTTTTTTATTTTTATTTTTGGAGACAGTCTCGCTGTTTCAGCCTAGGCTGGAATGCTCACTGCAACCTCTGCCTCCCGTGTTCAAGTTATTCTCATGCCTCAGCCTGTCCAGTGGTTGGGATTACTGGTGTGCACCACCACGTCTAGCTTTTTTTTATTTTTATTTTTGAGGGACTCTTCCCTCTGTCGTGCAGACTGGATTGCAGTGTTGTGATCTCTGCTCACTTCAAGCGATTCTCCCTCTTCAGCCTCCTGAATGGCTGGTATTACAGGCACCCCCCACCATGCCCAGCTAATTTTTGTATTTTTGGTAGGAACAGGGTTTTGCCATGTTGACCAGGCTGGCCTCAAACTCCTGACTCAGGTGAACCACCTATCTCGGCCTCCCCAGTGCTGGGATTACAGGTGTGAGCCACCTCACCTGGCTATATTGTAATTCTAATATGAGGCTGTTTCCTAATCTTTTCTTAATTCACATGTGAAACATCCCTGATTTGGATAGGACTACTAGTTACTGCTAATAGTTGAAGTAATCAAGATTATATGATAAACTTGAAAGAGTGTTTATTGAATGTTTACTGTGTGTTAGACGTCTGGCCAAGTATTTTTTATATATAGTATTTAATCCTAAAAACAACTCTACAAGTTAGCTACTATATAGATGAAGTAAACAGGCTTAGAGGTCCACTGACATGCTTGATATCAGTCACAGAGCTAGTGAATGGCAAAACTGGGAATTGACCCTACATGGCCTCACCATAGAACATTTATTCTTTAACATTATACTAAGTAGTCTTTGATTAATTCATAATTATTCTTAAAAAAAGACTTTTATCTAATGGAAATTGTTGTTGTTAGGTACATAAAGAAACAATAGATGCCGTACCAAATGCAATACCTGGAAGAACAGACATAGAATTGGAAATATACGGTATGGAAGGTATTCCAGAAAAAGACATGGATGAAAGACGACGACTTCTTGAGCAGAAAACACAAGGTAAATATTGGGATAAATTTTCTTTTTTTTTTTTTTGAGAACAGAGGCTTACTCTGTCCAGCCAAGGCTGGAGTACAGTGGTGTGATCTCGGCTCTCTGCATCTTTTGCCTCCGGGATTTAAGTGATTCTTTTTTTTTTTTTTTTTTTGACGTGGAGTCTTGCTTTGTTGCCAGGCTGTAGTGCAGTGGCATGATCTCGGCTCACTGCACTGCAACCTGTGCCTCCCAGGTTCAGGTGATAATCTTGCCTCGGCCTCCTGAGTAGCTGGGGAATACAGGCATGCACCACCACGCCCGGCTAATTTTTGTGGTTTTAGTAGCTAATTTTTGTGGTTTTACCATGTTGGCCAGGCTGATCTTGAACTCCAGACCTTAAGTGGTGATCTGCCCGCTTTGGCCTCCCAAAGTGCTGGGATTACAGGCGCAAGCCACCGTGCCCAGCCTTAAGTGATTATTGTGCCTCAGCCACCTGAGTCGCTGGGATTACAGGTTTGTGCCACCACACCCAGCTGATTTTTGTTTGCTTTTGTTTTTGAGACGGAGTCTCTGTTGCCCAGGCTGGAGTGCAATGGTATGATCTCGGCTCACCACAACCTCCGCTTCCCAGGTTCAAGCGATTCACCTGCCCCAGCCTCTGGAGTAGCTGGCATTAGAGGTGCGCACCACCACACCTGGCTAATTTTTGTATTTTTAGTAGAGAGGGGTTTCACCATGTTGGTCAGGCTGGTCTCGAACTCCTGACCTCGTGATCTGCTCCTTACCTAGTGATCTACCCGCCTCGGCCTCCCAAAGTGCTGGGATTACAGGCGTGAGCCACCTTGCCCGGCTGGTTTTTTTTTTTTTTTTTTTTT